TAAGCTGGCCACACATCCAAACATTTATCACCTCATCCATCATCTCATCCTGTCATTTTCTATTACCATGCAGTTATGACCGTAGACACATTATATTTAATAGTTATAGTCAATAAATCTGCTATGGCACTACAAAGTCGGTATTTATTTGATCTGTAATTATTCACCAAAACATTTCCTCACTAAAACATTTCCTATGACCTTATATGGTGTAAAAGGTGAAGAACCGGTGAACTGTGATTGGCTAATATCCATGTCAATCATTCCATGTCCACGCGCACGCGCACTTGAGCCATGACAATTGTTGATAATCAACTGGAGTTATTTTTTTCCTTTAGAGTAAAATAATTTCAAGCCAAGCCCTTTCCCCCAGGGGGGCTCTTGGACCATACATTGAACATAAGATACCGACTTGCATGAAGGGCTAATGGAAAACCCAAGGGATATGGTAAGAAAGAATTTATTTGAGCCTGCTTCCTTGATTTAGCGCCGTTAGCGGCTAGCAGTGGTAGCCGTCCTCTTTGTTTTGGTTGTCAGAAATAGATCCTGCTCGTCACACAAACTACAAAATGTACCTCATTCAAATCATTCGTAATACTCTCTATGTTATGTAACAGCTTATTCAAACTAGCTGTCTCACTGAATGATGCAAATACAACTGATAATGTATGTGTTTTGTGTATATGAAATATACCCGCAGGCCTATGTGTGTGTAAATGTTTGTGTTTGCGGTTGTGTCTCAAAACATAGTTAGTAGACAGTATTTATGGGGCTCTTAAACGCGTTAAGCACGTTTTCTGAAAACGTTGAAAGATCTCTAGGTTTTCAGGCACAGCATATATGTAAGTTTGTGTTGTGATATGACCTAAAAATCACTTTATGGTGGGTTATGGGGATATAAAATGTGTAGATTTGAGTAAAATGGTATTTTAGCAGGTGGTAATGGAACATGCGTTCAGATGGAGAAAGGGGTCTGAAATTCATTCTGAAATCAGGTCACAGTGGTTTGGACAAATCCATGTCTGATCCACCAGTCTGGTGCTTCAATGTTGAAAAATATAAATATGTAGAACCTGAAAATACAGCAGATGTCATTGGAAATATTAAATGAGATTCTTTTGCTTTGGCTGTCTCTTGTCTTGAAATGTGCTGTGGGGATATTGGGTGCTGATGATATTGACCCTTTTTACATGATATTTGCTTTTTTTTGTGACCCATGAGAACCTTCAATTTTATTCATGTGATATAGTCTGCTTCCTAATTCCCAGCTCATTAAAGCATTGATGAACTAATATAAAGATTATGGTTATCACTGACTGTAATATTTATCAGGCTGCTGTATTATGTCAAAGGTAATCATTTATTGAAGTATTAGTGGTATCTAAGTGAGCCTTAATCCTTGTCTTTCTTTGCTCTTCAATTAATTTGACGTTACTTCTTCCTTTTTTAAATTTCTCCACATTTTTCACTCCTCTCGTCGTGCCTAGGCTGAGCACACTCCCCGCTCAGAGCGGAAGAGGAGAGATTCGTTTGGGATGTTTGACGGGTATGACAGCTGCAGTGAAGACAGCAGTAGCAGCTCCAGCTCAGAGGACAGTGAGGATGAAGTCCCCAGCATCCCCGCCAGCCTGCCAATCATCAAGAACAACGGCCAAGTGTACACCTATCCTGATGGAAAAGCAGGAATGGGTTAGTAATTTAATGTATAGTGGGGTCCAAAAGTCCGAGTACACACAAAATTTGTTTTATTTTTCATTTAAACCTGGAAATAAACGGAAAGTATTATGATTTTTACTAAAATAATATCAGGTCAACTTTTTGCTCATTGAAATTTTATACATTGAATACGTTTTAATATAATTTCTCATGAAAAATAGTTTAATACCCTATTAGTCTCCTACCTAACAAAAAAAGTATCATTATGGTTTGCATTTCATCTAGGATAATTGTTCAATATAACGATGCACTGAAATAAAAATTCTGGGCTGAAGCTGAAAATTCAGGATGCACTTGGTCAGTTCATGTGCCACTTGAACTGAGGTGGCTACAGCAATCTGTTACGCTATATTAAAGACAGATAAAACCTAATTTATTGTTTGAATTTAATGTTTTTTTTTTATTTTTAAATCAACAGAATTTGAAAGCAGAGACTGTTTCATATTAAAGCACAAATCTTATCGCGGTTATTGGATGGCAGGTGCACTACAAATAATATTTCATAAAGTTCACGCGTCAACGGAAAACAGCCTAGACAAAATGATTGATCTTGAGATTTAGAAATACATTTCAGTATCGAGTAAGGAGAAATCAGTATTGTTAATCCTGCACTAGGGTCCACACAGATGTGTACCTGTTGTAGTTTAACCACATTGTATAGCACAAATATAGACTCCGAAACGTGCAATTGGAAAAACATGAATTAAACATCACCGTTTCGGACAATTATTTTAGCTCTCCAAAAATGGCCGGTTTCAGTTGGTTTGAGCTGAAAATTTTTGGTTGCCAAAATTTCAGTGAATTACTTGTTCAATAGTGTGAATATATGATTAATGATTGTGTTTTTGTTCATGCAGCAACCTGTGAGATGTGTGGTATGGTTGGTGTGCGAGATGCTTTCTACTCTAAAACAAAGAGATTCTGCAGTGTATCCTGTTCTAGAAGCTATTCCTCCAATTCTAAAAAGGCCAGTATACTGGCAAGACTTCAGGTAACTACTCATGGACTTAAGAAGCACTCCTAATCAAAACACTACCTTTATTGTTGTTCAATGTATGTATTCTTCTTGTGTCCTATTAAGGGTAAACCACCTACAAAAAAGGCAAAAGTCTTACAGAAACAGCCATTAATGGCAAAGTTGGCAGCTTACGCACAGTATCAAGCAAATCAACAGAACCAAGCTAAATCAAAATCAGGTAAATATCCAGGTTTAAAGTGTCATTATGTAATTGTATTCCTAATTGATTAATAATCTGTTGTCACATCACTTAACCACAGCATCATTTGTTCTTTTGCTCATGTAGTGGTACCTGTTGAAGGCTTTGACTGGGGCCAGTACATTTGTAGCAATAATCTTGTTGGGGCACCAGTCAGCTGTTTCAAACATGTGAGTACAGGTAGAGGTTGGCGAAACATTATTATTTTTTTGTATTTAATATATTGACTTCTTTTTTTTTTTATAAATACTGTTTGTTACTTGATCACTCTCCAGGTGCCCATGGGTATGTGCTGGGGTGACATAGCAGAGGGGGTGAGGGTGGAGGTCCTCAATTCTGACACAAACCTCTCCACAAAAGTTTACTGGGTAGCAGGGATTGTCAAACTGTCAGGTAATGTTGTAGTTTAATGACTGCCAAGGTTTTTGCTCTTAAGAATCTTTCAAGTATTATAACTGAAAAAGGTATCATATATTATTTATTTTCATCATTTCTCAGGTTTTAAAGCTCTTCTGCGCTATGAGGGTTTTGATAACGACTCGAGCAAAGACTTCTGGTGTAATCTGTGTATCCCAGAAATCCACCCTGTTGGATGGTGTGCTACTAGTGGAAAGCCACTGGTGCCTCCGAAATGTATGTGAAACATTAAGCCAATCAAAACTACGTAATTTGCTGGTTTCTTTACTGTTAAAGTAGTGTGAAGTTGCCGTTGCTGCATAGAAGTAATTATAAATTTTTTTTTTTTAATATATAATTTTTTTATATATATATATAACTTGTTTTTATAGCCATCCACCATAAGTATTCTAACTGGAAAGCGTTTCTTGTGAAACGACTCACTGGAGCCAAAACACTTCCACCAGATTTCGCCACAAAGGTAAGACACTATCCGAGCAGTGATCATGAAACCGTTTTCCGCTAGAGAGATACTCTAGAAAAACCAGTAATGCAAGATCTTCCTGATATAAAGATCACAAATTGTTGTGGTGCAGGTGTCAGACTGCCTTATAGGAGTCTGAATGGTTTTCGATGTACCTTTTCAAAGTTGATTCAACAAAAAAATAACATTTGATGATGTTGTGGCTTATGGATCTAAATGTGTCTAATGTTGCCCTCTGTAGAGGTGACAAAGAAAATGGAGGGTCAGATGGATGCTCCGTCACAGTTGTTTCTTAAGGTATATTTATAATTGTTTTTGTTTTTATTTGACTTTGTTTACAGTCACATTCATGTGTGTCAACTTTTGATCCCACAGGTTAAGGATGTGGATCAGAGTGGGGAATGGTTTAAAGATGGAATGAAGTTGGAGGCAATAGACCCTCTAAATCTCTCTGCTATATGTGTTGCTACTGTAAGAAAGGTAATATGCCATTTTGTCATTTTTCTCTGTTAGTCTTAAATGTTGATTTTGGGGGGGGGATCACAACACTACAGTAGTACAAACACAAAGTAGAGATTTGTAATTCAGAAAAAAAATAGACTAGAAATTATGAAATACAGGAAGAATTTATTTTAAATATTCAGTATAATCTTATATATACATATGGGCATCTATACATACAGTTTTCTTTATATAACTGTACCAGCACCTATCACCTAAAAATACATGTGAACACATACCTATATTTAAAGATACCGAATATTGTAAATAATACAGAACAATTACCCATACGCCCTTCCCACCCACCTCTCTCCATCTGCTTGATACGCACTGCATGGGGAAAACAGCTAAAACAAAATCAGTTATTAGTGAAATGGTCAGGAAGAAGTATTTTAACTTGGAATTGATTATCTTCTCTCAGGTGTTGGCAGACGGGTACCTAATGATCGGGATTGATGGTTCTGAGGCTGCTGATGGGTCAGACTGGTTCTGCTACCACTCAACCTCTCCCTCCATCTTCCCAGTCGGCTTCTGTGAAATCAACAACATTGAGCTCACACCCCCAAGAGGTGCTTTTCCACTCTTTCTGCAGTGTGATCTGATCTGACTGCATCACTGAATGAAATTTGGCCATTTTTGCTAATGAATCTGAAACTGCTCCACAGGGTACACCAAACTCCCTTTCAAATGGTTTGACTACCTCAGAGAAATGGGCTCAATTGCAGCCCCTGTGAAGCTCTTTAACAAAGTACTTTTTTTTTTTTACATTTATTTGAGAAATAATGCATTGTGTTTTGTCGTCTTTTACACACTGGTATGAATGTCTTCTCTTGCTTTCAGGAAGTACCGAATCACGGCTTCCGTATAGGTATGAAGGTGGAGGCAGTGGACCTGATGGAGCCACGTCTGGTGTGTGTCGCCACAGTGACCAGGATCGTCCACAGACTCCTACGCATTCATTTTGATGGCTGGGAGGATGAGTATGATCAGTGGGTGGACTGTGAGTCTCCAGATCTCTACCCCGTAGGCTGGTGCCAACTGACTGGCTATCAGCTGCAGCCACCTGCCACACAGAGTGAGTGAACAGTCCAGAAGATTCTGATTCTAGAAGGTTCAAATTGTTTCATAGCAAGACTCACAATATTCTCACATTGATAGTCTTCTAATCCTATCACCTAAAAATACATGTGAACACATACCTATATTTAAAGATACCGAATATTGTAAATAATACAGAACAATTACCCATACGCCCTTCCCACCCACCTCTCTCCATCTGCTTGATACGCACTGCATGGGGAAAACAGCTAAAACAAAATCAGTTATTAGTGAAATGGTCAGGAAGAAGTATTTTAACTTGGAATTGATTATCTTCTCTCAGGTGTTGGCAGACGGGTACCTAATGATCGGGATTGATGGTTCTGAGGCTGCTGATGGGTCAGACTGGTTCTGCTACCACTCAACCTCTCCCTCCATCTTCCCAGTCGGCTTCTGTGAAATCAACAACATTGAGCTCACACCCCCAAGAGGTGCTTTTCCACTCTTTCTGCAGTGTGATCTGATCTGACTGCATCACTGAATGAAATTTGGCCATTTTTGCTAATGAATCTGAAACTGCTCCACAGGGTACACCAAACTCCCTTTCAAATGGTTTGACTACCTCAGAGAAATGGGCTCAATTGCAGCCCCTGTGAAGCTCTTTAACAAAGTAAGTTTTTCTTTTTTTACATTTATTTGAGAAATAATGCATTGTGTTTTGTCGTCTTTTACACACTGGGATGAATGTCTTCTCTTGCTTTCAGGAAGTACCGAATCACGGCTTCCGTATAGGTATGAAGGTGGAGGCAGTGGACCTGATGGAGCCACGTCTGGTGTGTGTCGCCACAGTGACCAGGATCGTCCACAGACTCCTACGCATTCATTTTGATGGCTGGGAGGATGAGTATGATCAGTGGGTGGACTGTGAGTCTCCAGATCTCTACCCCGTAGGCTGGTGCCAACTGACTGGCTATCAGCTGCAGCCACCTGCCACACAGAGTGAGTGAACAGTCCAGAAGATTCTGATTCTAGAAGGTTCAAATTGTTTCATAGCAAGACTCACAATATTCTCACATTGATAGTCTTCTAATCTTTTTTTTTTTTTTTTTAATTCTTATTCTTTTGTTTTTTTATTTAGTTTTTCACAACTATTTTCTACTCTCTGTCTGACTCTTCGATTTAAACAGTTTGTAAATGTAAATTTAAATCTATATGTAAATGACTTCTATGATGGACTGACCTCTGTATACCAGCAAAGACAATGCCAGAGTTACTGAATACTGAGTAAACACTGACATGTAAACTCAGGCCATCATTTCTTGTCTTTTTGACAGATCCAATCAATCAAGTGTCCTTTAACAGAGCACATAAAGGATAGCATGCGTCCCATGACTTATGTACTGTGCAAAGTGTAAATAAGAATAGGCTAATAATTTTGATTATAATGTATTATTTAATATTGGTTGTACAATACGGAATAATAACACTATAATAACATCTTTTTTTAATGCTTATCTTTTGTGCATAATTTTTAACTCGGAGCAAATAAAAATCCTGCTGTCCTTTCTATTGTAAACTACAATGTGTTTGAATGATGTTTAATGATTGGCTGCATAGAATAACAGCTTGTCTTTTTCGTCCTCAGCCACAAGAGAAGCACCACCAAATGTCTCCAAACAGAAAAAGAAGACTGCACAGTATAAAGGACAAAAGAAAAGTGAGTCCAATCTTTTCTGTCTGTTCATCTTCTCTCTCCTCTCACCGAACACTGATTTTGGGTGCAAAATTGGTCCAGGAGGCGTTTCTTCTGGGTTTCCCTCAGCTTTGGGTCTGGTCTGGTTCTGCTTGATAGTCGGTAGCAGTTGTCACGATTCAGTGGGGTCACGGATAATTACAGAAAAACTGTAGCCATCATCCTCATCCCCGGGTGAGAAAGAGTGGCACCCTCCCTCAGGGTGACAGAATCTGAGCAAATGTTTGGTAGGGGTCAGATTTTAAGTCATCATGTTGGGTTCCACATTGCCTTTTCTCAGGGCTTCAGTTTCTCAACACAATCACCCTTCTGACATGTAGAAATCAAATTAAGGTTCAGATCTGAGTTGAAATTTGGGCTCAGCCGGAGGATGGCCCGCAGTGTTGTGGAGTGGAGCTCGATAGCCTGCGTAACCTCAGTAACTTCGGTAACCTCAGTCTGGCTTGGTGTTTAGAGAGGAAGATTCCAGTTGGGAGGAGGCCGATCGGTTTGGGTGGGCCTCTGAGGAGGAGGAGCTTCTTGGGTGATGAAGAGCAGACTCCGCCCCATTACCTGTCCCACTTCTCTGGGTCCGGGCGACCTCCCACCTCAGGTGTAGAGCATGATCGCTCTCTCAACTCAGGTAACTCAATTCTCCATCACTCAGGGAGAGGGCGCCACAGAGCTCATTCCTGTAGAACTTTTCAGGTCGGCCAGCATGAAGAGTTGCACATCATCAGGTGTCTGAGTCATTTGTGCAGCATACACCATTAACAACCGTTGCATGATAAAAAAAGGATAGTTTTACGTTTGACTCAGAAGAATTGTGTGCACTTTTTATTCACTTTCTGTGGTGTGAATTAATAGTATTTGGATGTTAAAGGAATGGGTCACCAAAAATACTGTCAATTCTGTCACTTGCCCTCATGATCTTTAAAACCTGTATGACTTTCTTTGGAACACATAAAGAGAATTTAGCCTTTTTTTTTCTTTCTTCATTTAACAATAAAATGATACTGGTTCTGTCAAGCTCTAAAATTACAACAACAAAAAAAAAGAAGCTGTTTATATATTTGTTACACAAGCAAAACATGTACTTGGTAAGAGTAGTAGAAATCTATATTGAGACAGTATATTCATACATGTATGATATTCATATTAAACACACATATATAAATATTTAAACGTATAAATATAGTAGTGGAATGAGGGATGATGGTATTGAAATCAAACCTTACTGGTATGAAGAGTAGACTAATGGAAAACACTCACAATTTGCACTACAGGGATACAAATATATGTATTGGCCTGTAAAATGATAGTAAAACCTGCAGCTTCATTGTATAATGTGATTAGCAAACATAATTATAGAAGTGGGATGTGCTCAAGTCAAAGTGAATATTGTGATATGCAAAAAAAAATATATATATATATTGTTTGACATTTTACACCAATGTTTATGGTTTTGATTTCGTTCTAAAGAGCCATTTTTATACGGGCGGTCAAAGTATTTTGTGAGCCGGAATAAACCGTAAGCAATCACTGCTACCTGAACACTACCTTCCTGTCATCTTTGATGTTGACCGCACAGCAGAGAATTCTTCTGGTAAACTTTCTAGTAGTATTGCGAGTCTCTGAACAATACAGCGCCAGCTTGTTTGTTTACAAGCCTCCTTGTTCGTGCATCAGCGAGGAATCGCATCCCATCCCATGCATTTTCCTTTACTCGCAGCATTCATTCCAGAATAAAACCATTTTTACTACCTCTAAAAGAAAACATGATTTTAAAATACACAGGTTGAGGATTCATGTGGTTCCTCAGCCTCGCTAAGGTTGCAATAGGTAGTTTTCATGCTCCATTTGAAAGGGCATATTCATTATATTTTATGCAAATGGAAAATATCCACACTTGGACACATGGCTTATTTCACTTTAAAAGTCTACACATCATTTATATTTATATCATAGCATGTTATCGACGGAGTTCTTGAAATGGAAAAGAATGTTATGCAATAATAATGTCTGTTGTTTTATGATGTCTTACTCTGAAAACAAAAATCACACAGCTCATACGTATATAGACTTAAAACAAAATATTCTTACAATATATTGCAAAACTGTGACAATTTTCTAAGAGCTAGACTTGAGCTTTCCCTGTTATAGATCGTTCTGAGTGTAAATAACCTTTATAACATCATATAGAATCAACCAATTTACTTCTGCATAGTGGTTTATCTTAGTATAATTATAAGCTCTATTCAATACCAGTAAGGTTGTTGGTGAACTCTCAGGAAACGTATCTCATTGACTTCTGCTTTATTTGAAGGGTCGTGGTTAAGCGCTTCTAAGATCATCCAGTTCTACTTACGATACCGCCGTTTTGTTTGTTTCCAATATTTGAAGCTCCTGACAAATGTGATCATGTCTTTGTTTTCCTTCTTTTCCTCTGGTTCAACTTTGCTTGCATTCATCAAATGCTGATTACATTTTGTAAATGGTCACCCACGTGTTGTAGTTTTAGATCCATGTTAAATTATGGTTTGTTGTATAAAGATCCAATGTATTTTTTTTAACAAGTGGTGGTGTTTTTCTTCTCTCTCTTTTGTAATTTACTTTTTCCTTCATGGGTTTTAGCGGATGTTTGTACTGAATTGATTTATTTTTTAAGTCATTTTTGGGTTTCTTCAGTAGCTGTTGTGCTGTATGCATGTGTAGTTTTCCAAATGTAAGGCACTGCTGTGTATTTAATTTGTAATCGTCAAACCGGGACTTTATGGCTACATTTGACATCAGCAACCAGATCAATATCGTCATGTTCATACTTCTTTCAATGCTTATTCTTTATGCAAATATTGCATTATTTTCAACGCCAGATTTTTTTCCCCTCATAAACCCCATCCATAGCATCAGGATTTAGGTACACACTGGTTATGATCATGCTTGTCAACTAAATTTTATTTTTTTTAATTTTTTTTACAATAAGACCAAAATCTCAATCATTTGCAATTAAAATATGACTGTTGAGGCAAATTTAGCTGCTACCCTCAAATGAATTTAAGCCCTAACGCACAACTTCACCTTTAAGTAAACACTCTTGTCAGCAGAATTGATGCCTTATCCTCGGTTATGTTTTTTCTCTACATAAGTAAAGTTATTGAGTCAAACATAGAGAAGTGAAATACAAACTATAAAGAAAAATGTTGTCCAGTAGAGTGATTATCAGTGCATGCAGCAATGTGAGAATCTTATGAAGGCCAGTGTTGTTCTGGTCTCGATACTAACACGGGTTTTTGTGATGTTCCCTCTGTCCTCAGTAATCACATCACGGTGCTATATATATATATTTGATAACTCATTCATTAGGTCTATTAAAATAATTAAGTCTGTAATTATAAGTTGGAGAGCTGGTGATTATAACTTCAGATCAGTATTTTGGATACAAATAGCCGAAATCATTTGTTATAACGATGAAAAAATAAAGAACTAACATTGACCCTCATAGTACATAGAGGTGAGGGTGGTGGGTTTGTAACTTTTTTGATAGGGTCTGTATCTGGTCTTTGCTTTATTTCTGATGATGATGATGCGTGCTGTGATATGGGGTTTGATAGCTTATATGTGTATATAGTTCAACTGTGGGGGAAGCTTTCGTTGGTTGAATTTTGTTAATTTGTTTACAAGCATTTCAAACTGTTTCCGCATGGCTGTGAAAATGTATCTGTTGAATTTGAGGAGAAAAAAAAAAAAAAAAAAGAAATTTTTACACTGAATTAAAAAGGATACTAAACGTTTATCTGTATGTTGTTTTCCCTTCTTGGTACTTAAAGGCATAGTTATTTTTTTATCCTTGTCATCAAAAATAAGCACAAAAATGCAAGTTACAAACAACAGGAAAAATACAAAATAAGATAAAAATTAAATAAACAGTGCTTTAATTTTTTTTTCAGGTGCAGACTATTTAACAGTAGCATTCACGTAAGAAATACTACAGAAATGAATAACCAAATGTTAAAATAAACCACTGAATAGTCTTCTCTGTATGAATTAAATAGGCAAGCTACTGAAGTTATTCAGTCAAGCGTGAGTGATTTTCTGTTGTTGTTTGATTAACATTAGCGACATGGAGAGCAGCAGGTTTATTAGGCTGCTGTAACTTTAAGACCTAATGCACAGATCCAACATGCCAAATACTTTGAACAGACAACTCTTATTAAAACGCTGTCAAGAAATAGTACCGTTTTTAACAGCAGGGTATTACAATGCTTTTCTGGCATCGCTATATATTGTGCAACACGTGTATAAATATAGTCATAACAGACTGGCCATTTTTAAAAATGTTCATTGTTTTTGGTGTCGAACAAAGAGACATGGTTCTTTAACAGTTATTTAAAGCAGGTCCATTTCAGTGCTTTACCAATTTACCAATTAAAGTCATATGGAGTGAAGCGAGCATTTGCTGTGGAAATAAAAATAAAAAGTAAACGTACACAAACATCCAGCACTCACTCCCACTATTACCATGTGCTGTATAAAAAGCACAGCACATCCACTAAACAAGCACTTTAAATAAAACCTTTAATTAGAAGGTTTATCAGCCAACAGTGTCAATTCAGTCAAACGTGTTCATTTCAGTGGTTAATGGGTCCCAAACCATGAACAGCTCACATTTAGGCTGCAGTTTCAACACTTCATGTTATGAACTGATCATAACCACACACACACACACGAAAAAAGAAAAATCAATGGATTGCTGCTGCTCTAAAAGTTACTTCAAAACTCTATGGTTAAGACTAGTCCTGAAGCTCATCAGACACTATACAGCGCTTTCAAAGGGCCATCAATATTACTGTAAGCAAAGTAAGAGAATATACAGATATGTTTCAGATATTAAGCTTTCTTTTAAAAAAATTATATTCTAGACTGTACATTATACAGTAATGTTAAATCATATATTTCATCTTATATCAGCGATATAGAGGTAAATCAAGTTGATCAAACATTAAAAATCAACAGATTCCGAAATCACAGGCGAATTAACACTGGTTTAAAAATACACACGTGAAAGGGTTTCTAAATGTGTACAAGTGTACGGAGAGAGAGAACAAAGGAGCAGAGAGGCATGATGGGACGGACAATTGTAGAGGAAGTAAAGAAAAACAGATGAAAAGAATTGGGCGAGAGGAAGAGGGGAGGCACAAAGGAGGCTCAGAGGTTGCTGAAGAGCTCATTTCTTTTGCTCCAGTCCATCTGCGGGGCTCTCTTGCTAGAGCGTTTCTGGTGAGCGCGTTCCTTGGCCTGCTGCAGCGATATGTTCAGAGATAGTCCTGCGTTATCACTTGAAGCCTTCTCTTTTGGTTTGTCCTGCAAACATTTCAGCATTAAAATGAACATTCTATGTATACTCAAGACTTTGTGCATGGACACAAACCTCTGGTGCGGAGGTGCTGGCTGGAGCTACAGAAGTGGAGGTGTTGGAGGAGGTGCTGGAGGTCGACAGGCTCATAGCTACTTTAGGCTTTTCCTCCCGAGTTGCTTTTCCATTCACCTTCAACAAAGTATTGACATTAATATAAAAACAACGTCAACCAATTAAAAGCGTAGTCCCCCAAAAAATGGAAATTCTGTCATCATTTACTCACACTCGTGTCATTCCAAACCTGTCTGCATTTCTTTCTTCTGTTGAACACAAAAGTACGTATTTTGAATAACCAGATACTTTCTGTCTCTACTGACTTCCAATGTATTTTTTGGACAAACAATGCTACCAACATTCTTCAAAATATCTTGTCTTCCACAGAAGAAAGTTAGTTTGGAACGACATGGTGGTTAATAAATGATGACAAAATTGGGTGGACTTTCCTTTTAAGCACAGGACCAAAAACAAACCCCTAGATGGACCCTGAGGTTTCAGTTCACAGTCTGACTATGGGGCCTGTCC